CCTGTGCGTGGGGCCTGGCCCTGGGGTCCTGGGGCGGATGCCCTTCTAGCTCCTAGCGACTCCCCTAGTTGCAGGCCTGGTTGCAACCGCCCAGTGGGCGGTGCCAGGGCAGGTTTCAGGCTATAAAGGGCTCTTGGCTCCCCGGGCCTGAGGGAACGCAGTCGCTGCGGCAGTGTCCCTGCCAGCCAGAGCCAGCTTGGGGCACTGCCGGTGTCCCATCGCCACCGGGCAGCCTACTCTTTTCCAGGCAGTGCCGACTTGGACACTGCCAGCTGCGTTCCTCGTCCCTACCTCGTTCTCTCCATCGGCAAGTCCCTTTTGGGGTTGCTTTCGTGTGGGTTGGGTGTGGGATGGGAGGAAGGGGACTGGGTGTGGGAGCTCTGACAGGGGAGGGTGCGGGTATTTTCATTTCTCTGAAAAAATTCCTTCTGGGGCAAGTGTCTGAAGCTGCGATTTCTGAGATTGAGGTACGGGGTGAGGCTTGTTCCATATCCAGGCAGAGGAGAAAGCCAGAGAGTTCTTTCCTGAGGGCCTCCCCCTTCCCAGGGCCGCAAGGGGGCGGGTGGGTGAGGGGCTCGGCCCTGGCTGTGGGTCTCTGAGCAGCTGGGAGTGAGGGGCCAGGCTGTGCCTGCATCTGGCCCTGCCAGGTATGGACGCTTGGATGGGGGTCATCATGGATAGAGCCAAACGAAAACAAAAAAAGTCTAAAGAGCCAATGATGAGAGGATACTGGGGGTGGGGTGCGCGCAAGTCACACTAGGGGACAGAGGAGAAGAAGAAGAAGAAGGAAACCTTTAAGTAATAAGTAACTAGCATCCAGAATCGAGCTCTGCTTCCAAAGCACCACCGATAGCAGGATGGCGGCTCCAAATGGGCGGGCGGGCTGGGACGCGGCAGGCGGTGGTTTTGAAGGGGCCAGAAGGTGTTCCAAACAACAGCCACGGAACCCTTGACGCTGCAAGGCGGGGGCTGGAGGAGAGTTTAGCCTCTGGGGGCTCTAGAAAGGCAGCATCCGTGGCACTGTGGTGACTTCCAAGCTGAGTTGGGTTAAGTCCTCACCCCCGACCGGCACGTACAGCGGGGGACCCAGCCCCGATCAGAATCGCCAAGGCACAGTCAGGGACTGTCCTCTAAACTGTCCTTGAAGATTGGTCACCAGAGGGGCACTGCCAGCCTTGCGGTGCCCGATCTGGAGGGAGGGCACAGCGTGAGAGAAGGGCAAACAGGCCTCGGGATGAATATCTGGGGCCACAGCTGGGATCCAGGGCCAAAGGGGCTCTGCTGATCTGCTGGGGTAGCTGTTTCTTCTCGAGTTCTGGAGAAGCAGCGGAGGAGCATGTCTGAGCAGCACCTGGTGGCACAGGGTAAGCCCTCTCCTCCACTGCCCCTCAGAAAGAAACAGAATGTTGCTTCCCCACTGGACTTGAAATTTTTCAGGCAAGGGGTCCCGCCACTGGCAGGTGTGTATAAAGAGGCCTCAGAATGAAATGGGGACCAGCCTGAGGCCCTGGGGAGGATGAGTAGCTGAGAGCTGATTTCCAAGGGTCCTTTGGTGCCAGGGAGGCAGGACAGGGCAGCTTCGTCCCTCAGGCTAGACTACCATGGGCCCAACGGGAGGCCGGCAAGACCCTGCAACCTCTGTTAGAGCCCTGAACACCAGCCCTGTTTCCTGCCCACAGCCTCCTGGTCTCTGCTCTGGCCACTGGCCACCCCTACTTTTTATCCTGGGCTTTTGCTCCTTTCCATTTGGCTATGGTTGGAGGAAGCAGAGGTAGTTTTAGGGGAAAGGAAGTAAATAAGCATCAATTTAAAAAATTCAGGGCCCCAACTATGCAAAATTAAGTGTAAAACTAACAGCTCCCCCCGTTGTCAGCTTTAATGGTCAGAAGCACGGATGTTAAACAAAGGGGCAGCTGCCACGTGGGACAGGATCTCACGTCTCATGGGGCTGCGTGCTTGATGGGGGAGAGGGTCTAATGTCTACAAATAGTGTTATCTCACAGGGCTGTGTGGAGATGAAATAAAATAGTAGCTGTAGAAGACATTTGTTGGCCCTACAGGGCTGCACACATGTAAGGGATTTGGCAAGTGCAATGTCTTTATTCCGTTGGACATAGAAAGGCTGGGATACTCCTGGGGAGCTCTGTGCCTCTATGAGGAGCAGATTTGTCCTTGTTGATGGGTGTTTCCTGAGCCCGGGAAGAGGGCACAGAGGCTGTGCCTTGCCCCACTGGCTACATATTCCAAGAGTGTCTGATACCTGCCCTCTGTATTCTCCCAGCCCCTCTGCCAAGCATTGCAAAATTCATCCAGGCAGAGCTCCACTTGAACCAGCATTCCCATGACTGATCCCCCAGTCTGTTCTGACTGATTTCAAGGTAACTGTAAGGCTACAGGGACATGGGAGGCAAGCTGTGAACCAAGGCTTCAGAGCACTTCAGGCAATAGCTGAAGCCCCATGGAAAAAGGTTGTAGCTGGAGCAGGGGGTGGGAGGGAGATATTCTGTCCTACAGTCCAGTTCTGCTCCCAGAGCCTCACAGGTTGAGCTGTGCCCCCATCTCTGGGGAGTCCACGAGGGGCCAGACATACTCCTCTCGCCAAAGGTAGGGTTGGATGATGCTTGAGAAGACTGGGGTTCAGTCTGGGGTCAGGGACAGGGTCACTCTATGACCAGGATTAAGGGTCAACCTGGGATTAGGCTCAGGGGTCTGTTTTAGGTCAGGGTTAGGGGTCAGACTGAGGTCTGGATCAGGGCTTGGTCTGGGACCAAAGTCGGAAGTCCAAGTGAAGCGGATGAAGGAATGTCCTCGGATGGAATCTGACTGGTGAAGTTGGTTGCTGACCCTTCTCTGTCCTGGCCCCACCCTTAACAAGGCTGCTCCAGAGCCCTAGGATTCCTACCGTCCTCAGCACCTCCGGCAATGTAGAGAATTACAATACCATGGCTTCTTTTCTTTCTTTTTTTCTTAAGTACTCTTTGGGGTTTGAGAAGAGAGATGGTTCCAATCAGGAAATCCAGCGACTACTGCTGTGAAGCCATGCTGTCCCTATGGACATTCCCCAGGACTCCACTTGGTGGCTGGGCCATAAGAACTCAGAATGACTCCCCCAGGGCCCCTCCCAACTCCCACCTGAACAGGAAGAGAGGATGAAAGTGCCCAAAAGCCAACAGTGAAGTAGGAGCAGGGGAGGGGAAGACAATGGTTCGTGGAGACTTCTGGGGCTGTGATCCCTGCAGAGCAGACACCTCCTGTGGTCTCTTGAGGTTGGAGGCAGGTGTTGTGTGAATTTGTTGACAATGATTCTCTAAGTGTACGTGCCTGCGTCTTCCTGTGTGTGTGTGTGTGTGTGTGTGCGCGCGTGTGTGCTTGTGCGTGCCCATGCTCTCTATTTGCCTGTGCATCTGTTTGCATCTCTATAAGGCTGTGTGTCCATCCATTCAGAGGTTGATGTCTCCACACATGGGTTCCCCAGGGTCACCTTGCCTATTCTGCCATCCCGGAGGAGTGCTGTGTCTGGGGGTCAGGCTATATTCTTAGGGCTCTTCAAAACAGCAGAGCCTCAACAATCTCCCCCAGCCCCACTCCTGCCCACTTTCACCCACCCCCCCCCAGCAAAGGGAACGGTGTGGTTTTGGTCTCGTGGCTCCTGGGTACCCAATCCAGAGTTGATTGTCCTGTGAAACCTCCCTGTTGTGAGGATGTGCCCCAGCTCTCTATTTCTGGGGTCACGGTGGTCCTGACAGGGACTTTGTGAGGGTCTGGGCCCCAAGCCGCCTGAGGTGGAAGTCTGAGGGCACTGAAGCAGGAGTGGAGCCACTTAGGAGCCTGCAAGCCGGCCCTTTAGGGCTGATCTTCCCTGTGAATGGAGACAGAGGGAAGGGGGGGGGAGCAGGAATTGCCTCCCCCGGATCTGTAGTGCTACGACTGTCCACCAGGTGGGGTTCCAGGGCAGAGAGTGAGCCGAGATGACCCAGCGCTAGAAGCAAGAGAGCTTTTAAATCTCCGCCCGCCACATCAACCTCGGAAGGGCTCACACGGGGAGGGACAGCACAGATGCTCGCCCCTTAGACACATACACGTTCTCTTCTGGTGAACTCTAAAATAGAACTCGTATTGGATGCAGGGGAGGTGTTAAAAGGGGAATCTAATTTCGTTTACACACACGCCATCCTAACTGAAGGTTGGGTCTTCTGTTCTGGGAGTGCAAGAGTGAACGACGGAGAAAAGGGGGCTGGGGGAAAACAGGACGCGCGGGAGAGGGCGAGCCAGGCACCAGCTAGACCGTGTCGGGGTTGGCACGCATAGCTCCATGTATCACAGACACGCAGGAGGAGAGCCCAGATGACAGACGGATGCACGACGCACAGACACACATACAGCACCAGAGAGAACACACAAACCCGCAGACACGCCACACAGCTCCACAGACGTCGGGCCGACCCGGGGACACACTCGCGCGCGCACACAGTTGCGGCCCCGGGCCACACGCACACCTCGCACAGGCACGCGCGCTGGGCCCTCAGCGGCCGGCTGGGAGAAGGTGGCCGCGCTCACCTGGCGTGTTTATTTGCTAATTTATCAATGAACGTTTGTACCCGACACCTCCCGCCTCCGGGTGCAGGGGCCGCAGCATTTGTCCTCTTCTCGGGACATTCACCGGACCAGCATCGGGGTTCCTCCGACGCAGCGGGGGGGGGGGGCGGAGGGGACTACAAATTAGGGGGTCTCGAGGTGTCCGAAAGGAAGGCTGCGGCGTCAGCTGCCCGGGACGCGCACGGGGAGAGGGGAACTTCGGGGTCCTGTAGGGTAAGAGACGTATGGGGGGGGAGGGAAGGGACCTTGGCCTCCGAGGTTTGAGGATGTCCAGATCCGGGATGGAGGACCCCCCGGCTAGGAGAGAGTGGGAGTGGCAAATGAGAGGATTGAGGGGTTCCGGGAGATAGGAGCCAGCGGGGTCCCGCGGGATAGGAGCTGGAGACCCTAAGCACAGGTTTAGGGGCCTTTGGCGCCTCTCAGTCGAGGGGCAGTCCGCCTGAGACCTCAGCTGCTGGGGCGACAGCCCACGCGGGACTGCCTGGGATGCGGGAAGGGGGCCGGGGCCCGACAGGGAGGAAAAGAGGGAGGGAAGTAGCCTAGCAGCCAAGCGGGCACCGTGCGAGCGCACACCGTGTGTGTGTGTGTGTGTGTGTGTGTGTGTGTGTGTGTCTCATCTCGTCCGTCTGTAGGTGCCGGGCTCAGCGAGACGCCGGCGAGAAGGAAGAGGAGGCGAGAGGTGAACTGAGTTTGATCCTGCGGCGGCTACAAGTGGGTCCGGGGCGGGCGGCGGGCTGCGGGCTGCGGGCGGCCTGGGCGGGGCTGGAGGCCGGCGGGCGCTCACACGCTCCGGCCGCCGGCCTCTCACCACGCCTCCGGCTTCGAGAGCGCGGCGGGGGTGGGGGTGGGGGTGGGGGTGGGAGTGGGGGGTGCTGGCGGAGCGCCCACGGCGCAGCCTCCCGGCTCTATATAAACACGCGCATCGCCTGGCTCTCAGAGGCACAAATTCACATTGAGAGAAGCTTTTAAAACCATCAGCCCTGAAATCCTGCCTCCTGCTTTTTCCCTTCTTTCATTCCTTTTGCCTTCCTTTCTCCCCCCCCCCCCCCCCCCTTTCTTCTCCCAGCAGCAACTCCTGAGCCGAGAGACTGCGTCCCGGGACGGACTGCCTTTTCTTAATTGATACAATAGCCCAGCTCGGGTTTTCACCTCCTCCCCCAACCCCACCCCGCCTCACCCCTCCCGCCAGCCGCCGCCGCCGCCGCCCCAGCGCCCGCCCGGGGCTCTGTCGCCGGCTGCGTCCCGTCCGGGCCGCGGTCCGCCGGCTCCGCACCCGCGCCCGCCGCGCCGCCTCGCCCGCCGCGCCCGCCTCGGGGGTGCAGCGGCGGCTCTGGGGCTCCGGCGCGCCTCCCAGGGCAGCCCAGGGGCGCTGGGCTCGGCCTCTCCACTCGCCTCAGCCGGGGAGCCTTCCCTCTCGCACCCAAAGTTTCTGGGTTCGTTGGAATTCAGGATTTTTTCCTTTTTTTTTTTAACCTAGGAATTTGAGGGGAAAACTTTTGACAAATCGATCGCACTTTCTCTCCGCTAGTTCTCTGTCCCCACCTCTTCCCCCCCCCCCCGCCAGCAGGGGAAGGGGCTTACGAGAGAGGCTCCCGCTGGACAAAGTTTTCCAAAGTTTTCCGAGTGTGATGGTTGCGGGGAGAGCTAATCCACCAGCTTGATTCACGGCTTCGTCTCATCACCCCTCCAGCAGCCCCTAAGTCCGCTATAAGGGAACAAACAAACAAACAAACAAACAAAGTTACACTCCGAGTCGCCTCGTGTCTCCTCTCTCTCTTCTTTTAGGCGATTTCCCCCCACTGTCTCCGCTCCCTTCGCAGCCTCCACTTCCCTTCCCTTCCCTTGGCTCCTTGCTCCTTTTCTGTTTCGGCCGGAGGTGTCAGGACCCCCGGCGGCAGCCTCCCCTCCCCCGCCGCTCCCGTCCCTTCTCGTCTGGCCCTCCCCTCCCCCGCCGCGGCCAGCACAGCCAATCCCCCGAGCGGCCGCCAACATGCTCTTTGAAGGCTTGGAGCTGGTGTCGGCGCTGGCCACCCTCGCCGCGTGCCTGGTGTCGGTGACGCTGCTGCTGGCCGTGTCGCAGCAGCTGTGGCAGCTGCGCTGGGCTGCCACCCGCGACAAAAGCTGCAAGCTGCCCATCCCTAAGGGCTCCATGGGCTTCCCGCTCATCGGAGAGACCGGCCACTGGCTGCTACAGGTAAGGGCGCTCTAGCTCCGTTGCTCTCCAGGGTCCGCTAGCGGCGAGCACCAGGCGGATGGAGCCGCGGGCCGGCCAGGGGGCGCCGGGAGCCTGAAGGCACGGGTCCCCGCCCCGCCCCTTCCCTCCTCTCTGCCTGAGCCGCCCGGGCTTCCCCTGCCCGCCTGCGGAGTGGTTCCGAGCCCGCTGGCGCCGGGTGCGCAGGTTCAAGGGGCTGGTAAGAGAAGTTCCCGAATCCGAGAGGGCTCCCAAGACCGACTTTTTCCAGTCGCGAGCGACTCAACAGGGGTGCGTCGAGCGTCCTGGGGGCTCCCCGCGCAGCGCGAGCCGGAGGGGGCATCCAGTCGTGAGCCGCTTTCGCCTCCCCTTCGCGCTCCAGGCCCCAGTCACCGTCGACTTCCCGGGCTTTGGCGGTGTCACTGGGACCCGAAAACTGAGTCAGGGAAAGAAAGAGTGGGCCAGTGGCAGCCAGGATTGCCCCTTTAAGACCCGGGCTGTGTTCCCGCCGCGTCACCGGCCACGCCAGGTACTATAGCCCCGTTCTATGGTCTGAGAAAGTGTGTGTGTTTTGTGGTGGGGGAGGAAGGAGGTAACCCAAGGAAAATGAGAAGCCTGAGACCCGAGGTTTCTCGGCTTTCGGAGAAAAGGGTCTATTTACTTACTGGGTGGGGACAGTTTAGCAGGGGAGAGTAACTTGGGAGAGGTGTGTGTGAGACCCATAGAGTGCGTTTGTGTTTGTTGTGAGACGCCACACAACCCGCACTGCTGGTGATAATGGGGGTGGGCGCGTCGGGGACCAGACCCAGGTAGGTAATGGGGAGATTAACCTGGAATTAACATCCTCAAGTGCTAGATAATCGCTTTTGCAATTCGATACACAGCAGGTTTTTCTTTGGGGGGGGTCCTCTGGGTTAACCGCGGAAGGTGTGTTGTGTGGGCGTGTGCACGCGTGTTTGTCCGGCAGATGCTGTTAGGGGTTAGCAGAAGGTAGGCTGTACTGAAACAGACAGTCTCGGCCCGGGAAAGCGGAGGCGGGAGGTGAACGCAGAGACCTGTGAGTTTAGAAGTGCGAAAGCTTGGCTTGAAATTAACAGACGCGTGTAATCCGCGTGCACACACACATACACCCTGCGCAGCCCCGCCCCGCGCCAATTGACAGCAGAGCTGGGGCGGGAGGGGCACGCGAGGTTCCTCTGCCCTGCGGTTTTCCCAAGTCCCGGTATCAGCCCATCTCTTTGGGGGCCTGTTCGTGCAACAAGGTGGGGTTCACTTCAACCAATGGGACCTCCCCCCGCCCCGCTGCCGTAAAGAAATCCCCAGAGCCTCTCCCGTGCCAACACACTTAAAGGGTTAACTGCAGTGGTGGTCTAGGCTTTTGGCCGAGAATTTAGGAAATAAAATATATTCACAGGGGCGTCGGCCCCTGCCGTATTAGAGCCAATTTGCAGAATTCGCGGTCTGTCACCGCCCCCCCTTCCTCACCGCCCCCACCCCACCCCCGCCACCAACGTCCCCTGACCTTTTCTCCGAATCCCACAAGGGCTTCTGGGGCTCCGCGTCCGACCCGCACGTAAGATGGGGAGGGGGAAGCAGGCCTACGCCACCCAATCTGTTCGCCCCCGGGGCCCTTGACTCTGAGGTGAGAAGGAAATGGGAGATGAGTGTAGAGAAGCACTGAAGGGGTTAATGGGAGCCCTCTGAATCCCAGCTTTATTTTTTCGGAGTCATTTATCAGATTTTACGGGGGGACCTCCAAGGGCTCTCCGTTTCCACCGTGCGCCATCTAAACAGAGCCCAGGGCTAAAAATACAACATTTTTGTATAAATTGGACTCGCGGCTCGAGCGGCCGCCCCTATGAAAGTCCTCTTTGTGAAAACCGTGGAAACGGCGGACAAATAACTCTTTATTAATGCCACAAAAAACGCACTTTAATTATAGTTAGGCAGATCAGAGGCGGGGGAGGGGGTGCCGCGGGAGAAAGGCGGCGGCGACCTCGGAAAATTCACAACCCAACTTTTGTGTCGAAAGAAAAGAAAAACAGAGGAAACGCAGGAGAGGAGAGTCAGACGTAGTGAGAGAGACCGGTACAGCAGACCGAGGGAGGGAACCCCGCTCTCTGCCCCCTTTTGTCGCACCTCCACCCTCGCCTTGATTTCTCTTAAAGGGGTAGACGCCGTCTAGAACCGCGGCAGGGTGGCGGGAGTTCTCCCCGACCCGCCAACCTGGGAGTGGGGCGGTGTCCCCCGCGGCCCAGTCCCCCTCCTGGAGGCGCGGGCGCTCCGAGCTCGCTCCCTGTCGCGCGCCCGGGCCGGAGGCACACGTGGAAAAGTGATTAGGGCTCCGGGTTCTGCAGAGTCACTTTTCGGCAGGGCTGGGGTGTGTACACATCTAACTGGCGAATGCTTTTCCGTGGAAGAAGGGAAAGTGAGGAGGGGGACCAACCCGGGAAAAGAGGAAGCGGAGTGTCCCTTCGGGGAGTGCATGACCCCACAGGTCTGGAGCCGGCATCCGCACGTCTGCAGGCGGGCAGGCGGGACGGCCTGACAGGTGGCGCCCCTCCCCTTCTCACCGGCTGTTGCCCTGGCCGGAGAAGGGTTAATGCAGGGTGGGGTGGCGAGCTACTTCGTCAAAGGTGAGCGGGACGCCCCTGCTCCCGCCCTTCGGAGGTCCCCTCTGTTTCCGGTACCCGCGTGGGGCCGACACAGCCAGCTCCTCCGAGCGCCGGGCCCGGGCCGGGGCCTGGCTCCGCTCTGCTCGCGCTGCCGCCACCGGGGATCCGGTTACCTGAGACGGCGGCCCCGCCCAGCCCTACCCCGCCCATCGGGAAGCGCCTTCCTCTGCTCTCGCGTCCCAGACTCCAGGGCGACGACGAAAGTCCTCCTCAGTTATTTCCAGGGCATATTGCATTAGGAAAATCGCGGCTGCCGGCCCATGACTCGACCCTGCGGAGCCCTCAGAGGGCCGCCGTGTCCCTTCGTGGCCCACACCAGCGAACGGAGGAAACCCCAACCCCCATCTGTAGTGATTGCCTCCGGGCACCGACCGCTCGCCGCTATAAATAATCTTTGGCCTGCGGCCACCCCGCAGGGTCTCGCCAGCCCGTGGCCGGGAGCCTGGAAATATTTATTCCGAGAGTCTCCCGAGCGCGAGGCGGGGGAAGTGGGAGGCGGAGGTTCTAGCTTCTGGTCCTGCAGTCCAGGATATGTTTTCCCTCCCGCAAGTCATTACTAAAAAACAACCTCCCGGGGGGTTGCCCTGGGCCTCTCGCCCCCTTGCTTTATTGATTATCCTCTAGGCCCCAGTTCTCATGCATGCTGTGAAAAATAAAACCTACGTGCGTGCATGCGTGTGTGTGTGGGGGGGTAGGGGACTGGTGCCCCGGGTGGGATCCTCCGCCCCTCCCCCGCGGGCCCTCGAGGCTGGGCCTCCCAGGTGTCCCATCTGGAGATGTGGGCCCTGAGAAAGTTTTTGCGTGGCACCCGCAGGGTTCTGGCTTCCAGTCGTCGCGGAGGGAGAAGTATGGCAACGTGTTCAAGACGCACTTGCTCGGGCGGCCGCTGATCCGCGTGACGGGCGCGGAGAATGTACGCAAGATCCTCATGGGCGAGCACCACCTCGTGAGCACCGAGTGGCCACGTAGCACACGCATGCTGCTGGGCCCGAACACGGTGGCCAACTCCATCGGCGATATCCACCGCAACAAGCGCAAGGTAAGAACTCTAGGCCAAGAGCCCCGCAACCGTGCTCTGATCTTCTTCTCTCGTGCACCTCCCTCGGGGTAAGGAGTTCTCGGAGACTCGGGGACGTTCCTACCAGAATCCGCGCCCCCATTTGCACACCATGTGGGAGGATCCCGAAGCTCCCTGCCTAGACGGCTGCGATCCCAGATCCAGGGCCTGTACAGGCCTCTTCCGGGTCTGCCCTCTTGGTAAGACACCAAGCCGTGCGCACTGCCAGGCCCAACGGGTGGCTAATTGGGGGTTGGTTTGGACAACTTGAACATGCGGCGGCAGGGGCGTCCAACGCCTGTCATCGTCGTGTTCCACAAACCTGGAAAAAAGAGAGGGCGGACGGTGGCCAGCGCTCCTCCTTTTCGTCCCCTGGAATTCCGAGGACTGTTAACGGATCGTTCTAAAATCACGCCTAGCTTCCCGGCCACAGGTTGCTTAAGGGCGACGCGGGCAGGCGCGGGGGCTAGGGGCACCTTGTGGGCAGAGGTTGCTGGGCCTTGCCTGGGAGGGGTGAGGTGAAATTTGGGCCACTGCGCGCACCGGTCTGGACAGAGGGGGAAGGGCGAGGGGTGGGAGAACTTCGGCGAGCCGACGCGCGGCGGGGGATCAAAGCGCACCTACCCCCTCCCATAAAGAGGAAGAGAAAGTGGGTGTTTATCCTGTGGATTTCCCGAGCGCCTGGAAGAGGCGCGGAGGAGGCGAGCCAGCGCGCGAGGGGCAAGCCTCCCCGCCCCCTCCCAGGGCAGCGCCGCCGCTGCGGCTCAGAGCGCGGGCGGCACGTGCTGTTTGAACTGCAGTAACCCGAAAGCTGAGCCGCCGGCGGGCGGGGCGCCGGCCCGCCGGCTTAAAGCGGCCGCGACTGGGGTGCGGGGGTGGGGAGGGGCAGCGCTGCACGACCTCCCCTCCCTTCACTTTTTCCATTGGGTCAGAAGACTCACCCAGTTTGAAACCTAAAGGAAAGGGAGAGGCAGCCTCTGATCTCCGGGAAAAGTGGCAGAGCCTGGGAGACAGGAGAGGGCCATGGTGGGGCAGACCCCTCCTCCGGACGTCTGTGTGTGAACAGAGGAGTTCATCCTGTAGAATCTGTCGTCTTTCGAACTGCCTGCGAAGAGTAGTTCTCCGGAACAGATAAAAGGAGGAAAAATCAGAGGGGACTGGTCAGCACGTACACCACCCCGCCCCCCCCCCCCCCCCCCCCACTAAAGCACGGATTTCAGGGGCTGGGAAAGTGGTCTTCCCATCTGCTTCACTAGAGCAGGAAGCAGCTAACAGAGCCTGGGGTCAGATGGGAGGGTTCTTGGGAGTGGCTGGGAGGGGGCCCGTAGGCTCAAGAATGGGGGCTCTTCAAATATGCCGAACACTCCTTTTTTTCTTAGTCTTTGTGACTCCACCAAAAGCGTATTTCAAAGAGTTAGGAGAGAGCGTGAGCCGCAGAAACCCAGCTCCAAAGAATGTGGCTGCTTTCTCATTTTATCTTTATAAAGACTTTGACAAGAACGCAATTACTGTCCCTTTCTCACAGAAGAGGAGCCCGAGGCTTGGAGAGATTGAGGGACTTGAACCAGGTCGGGAAAGGAAGAAAAGGCAGGGCAGGGCCTGCAACACAGGCATCCATGGGAAGAGTTGTTTCTAAGCCACCAAGTAGAGCCCTCCTCAGCCCTGCCCACCTGGGGCTGCCAGAAGCTGAGGGTCAGGGTGGAGGTGGGGAGGAGTGCTGGGGGGAAGAAGGCTTGGTCAGGACCTGAGTGTGAGACCCTGGGGGTGCAGAGGGCTTTGGGGAGAGGCTGTTGCCCTGCAGTTCCCTGCACCCTCTGCCTGACTTGGCTTTGGGCCTCCAGGTGGGGAGGGCCCTCCTGGAAAGCTCCAAGGTTTTGGCTTACATCATCCATTTGGGAGGAAGGAGGGGGGCACAGATGAATGCTGCTGGAGGAATACGCAGGGGAGGAAGCTGGAGTGAGGGACAGGGTGAGGGCGTGGGACCTGGGTGGGGCCAGAAAGGAGGACCACAGATGAAGCATAGATAGTCTCTCTCTTTCAGGCACCCTTGCCCTCTAGCACCTTGCGGATAAGGGAGCAGCCAGAAACCAGCTCATCCTGATAGAGGCTTGGGAACCCGAAGCAGGGTTTCTGTGTGCTAGTTGTGTGCTTGCTATGTGGCATGTGTGTGGGTCCTATGTTAAATGGGCAGATGAAAACATCCTTCCCCCGCCAAATCTCTAATCGATGTTCCATAAACTTAAGTTTACTGAGTAGCAGGCCTTAGATTAGATACAAGCATAGAAGCTGGAAACTTGGTCCTTGCCCTTAAGAAGTAGAATCTAGCTGGAGAGATGAGAAGAGAGTACTCAGAGGCACACAGGTTGGTCCTGGAGAGAATGGCCAGTCTGCTGGACCCAATGCCCAGTGGACCCAACTTGGCCAGGGTGGGGACTGCCCTGTGCCACTCACACTGCCTTAGCCAGCCCACGCTGCAAGCAGGGACCTGGCTGGAGAGCGGGCTGCTGGGCCAGGCCCAGCCTGGTTACGATGTACTCGCAGGAAGTGGGGGCCAGGTGTGCTGAGGCCCTGCTGGCGGGGAGCCAGGACCGTCACTATTTCCGCTGGGGCTGCTACCCCACCCCTTCTCTGGAGGTCTGACCAGGTGTGCTGGGAAAGGGGTTCCTCACAGCCATCACTGCACTCCAGGTGTTTGTCCAGTCTGCCCTGGTGGTCTAGGGCCAAGAGGGAGGGGTAGGGTTGCCAGGGAGAATGTCCAGAATACCTTGTCCAATCTAACAGAATCCTCTCTGGAAGCCAGGCCTGTGTCCCTATAGCTGCGACCTCAGATTCTGTCCCTCGTCCTTTGTTACCCCTTCCCTACCTGGGGCCAGGAGGTCTCTGGTTCATGGGGGAGGGACTGCATCTCTCTTTGTATGCAAAGAAGCTGAGAATTGCCCTGGAAGGGTGGATGGAGTCTGATAGGAAAGATGGGGCGGGAGGGTTACCAGAGAAGGGGGGTGGTTGTCATGGGTAGTTCTGGAAGCATCCAGTGCCCAACCCCACACACCAGGATCAGACATTTCCTCTTTTCCTCTGGAGATAGGGCTGGGCCTCTTTGCACCAAAGGGCCAGCATCTTCAGGGCATTTCAGGCAGTGGCCTTGAGATTCTGTCAGAGAACTTGGAGTGCATCCCAAGGATGAACTTAGCTTTGGAACTCTGGACTGGAGAGACCCTAGGAGTGGTCTTCTTGCCCCTCCTACCCTGACCCCTGGCTTCAGGGACTTCTGTGCCCGTGGCTGAGGTGGGGGAACAGCTCCAGACGTTTTGGGGATAGGAATTAAGAAGCCTGGCCTGCCCACCCACCGATCCTCACTGACTTGGCCTTTGGGCCCCGTCCTGGCTCGGGGAGGAGCTCAGGCTCAGGGTTACCGCACTCGCCTCAGAAATCCTCTGTAGGCTTGGGTTTATGTCGGGATGGAGAGGCCAGGAGGTGCCTTAGCAGGAGGGCAGAGCCAAGAGGGTCCATGGTCGTGGGGTCCTGGGGGAGGCTGGCTCAGACTGGCTCCAGGTGGCCTTTGAACCACTGCACAGCCTCTGGCTTCAAAGTCATGTCTGCCAGGCTCAGCTCAGGGCAGAAGTTTCCACCTGTGTGGGATGGGAAGGCGGTGGCATGGCCAGGCAGCCCTGCTACTGGGAGCTCTGTCCCCACCCCCTGGCAGAGGCACGGAGCCTTTGTGCTGCCAGCGGAGGTCCTTCACCAAAAATTACTGTAGCATCAGGGGCTGCTGAGGGGGCAGGTGGCAGGAGCGGATGTCTCTGAAGGTCAGCGGGGGAGGGTGCCCACGGCCAGCCACCAGGGCGCCTGGGAGTGGGCTCCTCCCTCTGCGTGCCCTTGTGTCAGGCAGGGGTGAGTGGTGTGGGCCCTCCCTTTCACCCCCCTCCGCGTCCTTTTCCCAGGGCAGGGTGGGGTCCAAGGCTGTGATGCTGTGATGCTCGCTCTCCCAGCCTTGGGAGACAGTTGTGGCCTTGGCTGGAAGTGGGGAGGCTTGGCTGGGGTCTGCTCTGGCCCTGATCCCTCTAAGCCAGTTGTATCTGTTCCAGGTTCCTGGGGCTGAAGGGCAGGGTGGGTGTGCCTCCAGGGGCTGACAGAGTAGCCGAAACAGCTGGCCTTACCCTCAGAATAAATTTGGGCCCTAGAGGAGCGTCCCCTTCTAGCTCTTAGATACATCAAGAGCCCCCAGGACTGGTAGAGGGTGGCTCAGCGGGGTTTGGATTGGTGGGAGGCAGGGTGTTCAGGGACCCTGGTGAGTGTGGCCAGTTGTGCCCCAGACTGTGACCTTGGGAAAGCCCTTCCTTCTTTGGGTCTCAGCTTTCTCAGGGGGTTTTTCTATGGTTGGAGGAGGGATGGGAGGGTCTGGACAGAACTCAGAGCCCGGCAGGTATGTGCCAAGTGCTGCTCTCTCCCCTCATCCACAATGTGCTTTTGTTGTGTGTAGAAGAGTTGGGGGGACAGTCAGAGCTGGACTTGAGTTGGGGACAGATACTCTGCCCACAGATGCTAGGGACCCAGAAGGGGCATACCCAGGCTGGGGGATCTGGCCAGCCTCTCCCAATCAGAGGGGCTGAGTGGGGACTGGCTCGGGAGGCAGCCAGGGTGGAGTGGAGGTCCAGTGGAAATGCCAGGCAGCTGAGGGATGACGTCCTTTCTTGTCCTCCCCCTACTTGAGCATAAAGTGCGCACCTTGGCCTCACCCCTGCGCTGTTCGGACAGCTGCCTCGGCGGCTGCCCGCCCTCTGTTATTCTTTCCACTCCTCAGGCCGCGGCCCTGGTGGCTTGGCGGGGTGGCCTGCCTAGGCCCCCACCCTCCCGGGCAGCTGCCTCCATTCCTCCCAGTCTGAGTCACTGGACCGGGGAGTGGGTCCCCTCTCTGGCTCTTCCTGCTTCTGAGGCTGCCCATCCTTCTCTCCATCCATCCACAGCTGCCAGTTGAGAAGGGGAGGTTATCGGGCTGAGCGGGTCAGCATGCAGGGTCATGGGGGTCCAGTGAGCGACTCCCCTCCCAGGGGCGCTGGCTAAGAGGCAGGAGTGGGGAGGGAGGCCTGGGGATGTGGGGGAGACATTTGTAGGAACAATTACACAGAGTTTGAGCCTTGACAAGCCCCCTGGTGGTTCCCCCGACCCTGGTTATGGATTCAGCTTTTATTGCAGGGAGAGGGAGAACCCAGGATGTGGGCTCTTGAGCCAACTGCATTGTTGGGAAAACCCATAGAGGTTGGGGGAGGGTTTCCAAGCACATCCTTCAAGGCCAGAGCCCGTCCTGCTCGGGGTATGTGCCTGGAGTTCCCAGGTCTCTCGTGCACTTCCGCCCTGCTCTCCCCAGTGCCAACCCTGATGGGATGTCCATACCTGCTTCTCCCTGTGCAGGGCTCTGCCCGAGCCAGGCTGGTTCCCGGTGACCTTTGTCCAGCATTCTTGGCTCACTTGTGGGAATTCCAAGGGAAGCCCCAGAGGGAAACAAAGCAGCCCTGGCTCCTGCTGCAACTGCGGTCAGGCCGTGGGCTCTGGGGCCTCTGGGAACCCTTCCCCTCTTCACGATGAGCTGCTCCGCCGGTGCCTTCCCCTGTGCCCAAGTCCTGACCCTGATCGCCCCCACGTGCCCAGGCCTTCCTGTGCCCTGGGCAGCACCTCCGCCTCCTCCTGGCCTTTGTGGTGGGCGGTGGTTTCTGGACTGCCCTGGATTTGGGAAGTGCCCACGTTGTTAACCCTGGGCACGGTCCCAGGGATGAGACCCTGGAGTTTCCCGGCGCCTGGGAGGCTCTGATGCCTGTGGAACAGCTGGGCGGGAGGCAGGGGCATGGACTTGGTGACCACCGAGCAAAGCCCCTTGAGCCTGGAGTGCCCGCAATCTGCCTTTGCTCGGCTTCTCATCTGGGTAGTTTCTCCACCTCTGGGGGCCTCTGAGGAGAATCATGGGACAGCCAGGAGGAAAGGAACCCCAGAGCATCCAGTTAGACTCCTTTCTGGGTCAAGGTAAGAGCCCTGGTCGTGGCTGAAATTCTTTCAGAAGCCCCACCCCGGGGGGCCTGCAGGTGCAGGCTTTCCTGCAGTCATTTCAGCTCCTGACCTTGCTCAGGGCCCCTTCCCACCTAGAGGTCAGGTGTGGACCCCCTGCCCTTGGAATCGCTCTGCCCAGTCCCAGGTCCCCTTGGGTCCTTCCTGCTCTCCGTGGCCCCCAAGGCTGGAGAAGGAGCGATTCAGCCGGCCATCGCTAGAGGGCGCAGGGAATGTAACCTTTGGGACAGACGGGGCAAGGCTTGTCCCTGGGTCCTGTCTGGCCACTCCTCGGGGTGCAGTGGGGTCCCTCAGAGCTCCCCCTTTGGTAACCTTGGGATGGCCCTTCCTGAGCCACCGTAGCGCATACGAGGTGTGTGAGTGGGGGCCTGGCAGGCACTTACACCAGGTGACTGTTGCCGTGCCAGATTCTGGGCTTCTTTGAGGGCATAGCGTCTACTTAGGGACACACGGATACTGGTGTTCGTGTGATCTGTGCGTTGAAAGGGACCACAGAGATCACCTGGTTCAACCTTACCAATTTACAGATGAGGAAACCATGAGGCCGCAAGGTGACTTGGCCATGATCCCACAGTAAGTTGGTGGATGATCCGGGAATAAAACTCAGGTTTCTGGGTGCCCAGCCTACCTTTTCCCACCACCCACTGCATCTTAGGAGCCTAGCTGGCTTTGACTTCGGCTGGTCCTGGTCGGCATGGGCCTCTGCTTGATTCCCCCTCCACATGCCCACCTTTGGGTCCAGGTGTCCTGTGTGCTGGGGGCCCTGACCAGCCCCTGCTACGTTCCCTCCAGGGCAATGCCCTTGACTCTGCCCTAGGTTGGCTGGCTTTGGCCAGACATGGCCCCCCTGCCCCTGCCTGCCCTACCTCCAGCCTCCCCACCGACACCTGGCAGCCACAGAGTTATCATCCTGCATCCCTCATGAGCCTGCTTGGCTCCCACGGACCACTTACTGCTCCTTCTGTGGGCTCTTTGCTGTTTCATAAGGGCCCCTAGCAGGCCAGTGATGGGCTCTGGGGCAGGGCCCCACTCCTACCCATAAAACTCCTAGACCAAGAGTGGAACCTGGCATCCTAAGGACACTAGGGTCCAGGGGGGCAGGGCTGAGGCAGAGAGAACCCTGGCGGGAGGTGGCCCTGGAAATTCCCGGGGCCCTCACAGCTGAGCAAGGTGTGAGTGACCTGGCCAGGCCTGGGCTGCCCCTGGCCACCTCCCCTCATCCTTCTACATTTCAGCTGTCCCTTAGCAGCAGGAGCAGCCCCAGACAGTGCTGGCTTTTCTGCCCCTCACCGGCCTCCTTCCCTCCCTCCCTCTGCCCACCGGGAATTTCGGAATGAAAGTGCTATTGTGAACGCCTGGCTGGGCCACTGAAGGGCCAGCACTGTTATTTCTGCAAACCAGCCCTCCCATTAGCCATGCAGGGCTGAGGCCAGGAAAATGTTACCTTTTCCTCCTTGAGCTGACTGCAGGGGAAATTCTCACATTTACAGTTTGTGCGGTGGTTGTGTTTGGGGGCAGGAGGGGAGGGTGGGCGCGTGTGTGTGGTTTGCGTGGGGTTGATGGGGGTGCGGCTAGAGGAGTACTTGTCTCCTTCCTCTGCGCTGCCCGCCCCCCCCACCCTTGACTTCCCCGGTGAACTTTCCCTTGGCCCCGGTGGGGGCACCCCCTTCTGCTCTGGACTCTGGGGGTCGGGGCTAAGCATTGTTGGTTGCCCGTGTGACCCACCGGCCAACAGTAAATAAACTAACATCTTACCCTCTGCCGTACACCCCGGGCAGCAGCGTGAAACTATGCGCAGGGGCATCTGGGTGAGGAGGGGGCAGGGAGGCTGAGGAACTTGCTCAGGAATCAGGAGGATAGCAAGCGAGGGAGGTGGAAACAGGGACTCACTGGCTACTTAAAATGGACCGGGAAGATGTGGGAAATTAAAAGGCCTTCTGTTTGGCTTTCTGATCTTTTGAGGTGGGAAGTCTTGCCCCCATCCCCGTGCCTCCAGACCCGGCCACACTGAAGACATTTGGATGGCACAGTTAACAAACCCCCTACGATCTCTACCCAGTAGGTATTTCCCAGGGAGTGAGAGCAGTCTTGGGTCTCAGGAAGTCCTGCTTGCAGTCTAGCCTTGGACTCTCTTGCTCTCCCATCAGTGGAGTAAAAGAGCCACTTACTGCTTTCCACCTCTTCCTTGTTCAGTCCATTCACCTGTGTTCTGTTCCTCCTGGGCACGTCTGCCCCGTGGCCTGGGCATTCGGGAATGGCCCCTGCAGTGGAGGGGCAGCCTCCCCTCCAGCCCTGCCCAGCGCCCTCTTGTGTTGCCCCCCACTCTGGTATGGCCACATCGCCTGCAGACCTGTTGGCAGCTGGACTGCCCAGTCCCCGGGCTTTGCCATTATTTGGAGCACATGATTTTCTGGGGTTTCAGGAAGGAATGCCAGCTCAGGTCACCCTGTGAGTGATGTTGAATGTCCCGACTTTATGAACTATGTTTTAATCCCGTCCTTCCCCTGCCTCCCCTCCACGACGTGGGCAGTAGGAGGGGGGTTCAGAGTAGAGGAGCCAGCAGAGGGACTGTGTCTGGAGACGGCAAGGCTTGAGCTTGGTCAGGGTAAGGACCTGGAGTTTTCCCTGATCACGGTCGTGGGAAGAGTGCTTCAGCTGGGCCGAGCGGGCAGGCCAGAGTCCATCTGACCCTCTGCCTTCCAGGTCTTCTCCAAGATCTTCAGCCACGAGGCCCTGGAGAGCTACCTGCCCAAGATCCAGCTGGTGATCCAGGACACACTACGTGCCTGGAGCAGCCACCCCGAGGCCATCAACGTGTACCAGGAGGCACAGAAGCTCACCTTCCGCATGGCCATCCGAGTGCTGCTGGGCTTCAGCATCCCCGAGGAGGACCTCGGGCACCTCTTTGAGGTCTACCAGCAGTTTGTGGAGAACGTCTTCTCCCTGCCTGTCGACTTGCCCTTTAGTGGCTACCGGCGGGTGAGCACCCAGGGCCTGGGAGGAGAGGAGATGGGCGTCCATGAGCCCACCCTGAGGGAGGGGCGGCTGACTGCTAAGATGGTCACTGGTCACACAGACAGAGGGGAGGTTTCAGCGGGAGCCTTCCCCCAGGGTCACTGCTGCTTAGATGGGAACTCTCAGAAAAGTCCCCACCCTGCCCTGCCCGGCCTTGGGAGGAGGCCCTCAGTGACCCTGCCCTTCCCCTTGGGTAACCAGATGGCCTCCTCCCCGCCTCAGGGCATTCAGGCACGACAGACCCTACAGAAGGGCCTGGAAAAGGCGATCCGGGAGAAGCTGCAGTGCACGCAGGGCAAGGACTACTCAGATGCACTGGACATCCTCATCGAGAGCAGCAAGGAGCACGGGGAGGAGATGACCATGCAGGAACTGAAGGTGGGGCACCCCTCCCCAGCCACCTCAGGCAGCACAAACGCCTGCGCTCTGTGCTGGGGCTGCTCAGGGTGGGAGCACACACACGGACGGGGCCGCCCCTGCCCTCCCCATGGCTTGCTCTGCACTCAGTCCTGGTGGTGAGTGGTCCTCACAGCAGCTGGGCCCCACTGTCTCCATCCCACCCACAGTCCCATCTACCATGTTGGAAAAGATACCGAAAACTGGTTCTTAGTAACCCTGAACAGACACGGCGTCCGCAGCGTCGCTGACCCCCTCACTCTCCCCAGCCAGCCCCCCACCCCAGTATTCACTATTTCAGTGCATTTCTTGGTCACAGTAGCCCTAGGAGGTCACCTAGGGGAATGCAGGCCCAGAAGGAGAAGCCACTTGCAGGAGGGCAGCCTCAGCCCTTGGGGAAGAGCCGCCTTTTCAAGTGGGTGGCACTTGACACTCTCCCAGCCTGCCTGGCACTGGCGATGCCCAGTTGGGCTGCTGGCCCCAAGACTGTCCACACTGGGCTCCAAGAAGGGCTTCCTGCCTGCCCTTTCTTAGGGTGGATGTTCCACCTGAGGAGGGAGCATTAGTTCATCCTCGTCTAGACTCTGCCACTCTCGTGCTTGCCAGGTGCCTGTGGACACTTCACTGCCGACTGCTCTGTCCCTACTGTCTCTGCTTCCCTGTATTCTAGCTCCAGTTTTTTTTTTTCCTCATGAGCCAGGAAGGAGCCCCAAAGACTTTCCCATTTCATAAGAAGTTTTGTGACTTGTAGGTGGTGCCATGGCAAGTAAAGGACCTGTTCTTTCACTCCCCTCTCTGGGCTCAGCATCCACATTTGTAAAATGCAGGGCTTGGAACAAGATAACTTGGTGGGGCCTTTCTGTGGGGCCACTGCTCCCCAGAGGACCCTGGAGGGGCTCTACGTCTTCTGGGGACCACCTTCCCTCAGCCTTCTCACTGCAGTTCCATCCCAGGTCCTCGTGGGTATGACCCCAGACTGCTTTCCCAACCCCTCAGCTCCCTTGACCACCTACCAGATGTCCTCCTGCGGAGGGAGGAAGGAGCTGGGGCTGCCAGTCTGGAGGCCCAGGTTGAGACCCTGCACCTCACCCCCACTCGCCCGCACAGTGCCTGCTCCTTGGGATTTGCTCTCTTTCTGCTGTGAGCTCACTGCACTCATTAGGGCGGCTGAGGCCGGCCCTGGAATTCGGCAGTGAGTGAGAAGCAGCCCTTCCCCAAGGGACTTTTGGGCTCGTGCTTCGGCCCAGCCAGGGGACTGGACCCGTGACCTCTGTCCATCGTGGCCCAAATGGCTCAGCAACGTGAGGCTCAGAGGAAGCAGCAGGGCCCAGCTAGATAACCCTGGGGCCTGGGGGACACCGGCAGAGAGGGGTTGCACCGGCAGAGAGGGGTGGCCTGGGGCCACCAGGCCGAACCCAGGTTGCAAGTGGTGCTTCTTTGCTGCTGCAGGACGGGACGCTGGAGCTCATCTTCGCCGCCTACGCCACCACCGCCAGCGCCAGCACCTCGCTCATCATGCAGCTGCTGAAGCATCCGGCCGTGCTGGAGAAGCTGCGGGAGGAGCTGCGGGCCCAGGGCATCCTGCACAGTGGCGGCTGCCCCTGCGAGGGCACACTGCGCCTCAGCACGCTCAGTGGGCTGCACTACCTGGACTGCGTCATCAAGGAGGTCATGCGCCTGTTCACGCCCGTCTCCGGTGGCTACCGCACTGTACTGCAGACCTTCGAGCTCGACGTGAGGCTGGGCCCATGGGCTGTGGCGTGGGGGGGGGGTTGGCCGATGGGAAAGACCAGCTCCCTGTGGGGCACCTCAGCCTCATGGGGAGACGGTGCTTGCTTTCAGGGAGCTTTCAGGCTGACGGGAGGGACCCAGCAGGGACCCTGCCCCAGATGCTGGGTCAGATGCAGCCCAGCTGGGCACGCTGTGAAGCTGCATGGGGACATCTATAAGTAGATGGACTGACATGCCAAAAGGGGAGGCTGGCCAGGCCCCCGGGGACCACAGTGGGGTGCCTCCAGGAACATCTGGGTGGGGGCTGGCAGGCAGAAGGTCCTGGGTCCTCTCAGACCTCCTCTGGTTCTCACCACTGCATCCCACCCCTGCCCCCGCCTTGCCTCTAGGGTTTTCAGATCCCCAAAGGCTGGAGTGTCATGTACAGCATCCGGGACACACATGACACGGCACCCGTGTTCAAGGACGTGAACGTCTTCGACCCTGATCGCTTCGGTCAGGCGCGGAGCGAGGACAAGGATGGCCGCTTCCATTACCTCCCTTTCGGTGGTGGTGTCCGGACCTGCCTGGGCAAGCACCTGGCCAAGCTGTTCCTGAAGGTGCTGGCGGTGGAGCTGGCCAGCACCAGCCGCTTCGAGCTGGCCACCCGGACCTTCCCCCGCATCACCTTGGTCCCCGTCCTGCACCCTGTGGATGGCCTCAGTGTCAAGTTCTTTGGCCTGGACTCCAACCAGAACAAGATCCTGCCAGAGACGGAGGCCATGCTGAGCGCCACGGTCTAGGGCGCCAGGCCTCGGGGCGGGAGGCGATGGAAGGGTAGAAACCTGTGTGTGGGAGGGGGCTGGAGCCCGGGGAAGAGGAAGGGCCCCCCAGGCCTTGCCCGCCCCTCTTCCCCTCCCTGGCAAACCTGCCCCAAGTCAAAAGGGCTCTCCGGGGTCGGGCGTTCCCCCTGGCCCCTGCTTCTCTCTAGTCTCTCCAGTCCCCAGCAGCTTAGCTCCCCCGGGAAAGGGCCTGGCCCCCCGCCCCGCATGCCCATCACAGTGTTAGATGTCGGCTGTGCTGCAGCCTTTGCTTGTGATGTTCTGAACTGGTGTCTCCCCTCCCTTTTCTTTCGGACTCTTTTCATGTGAGGTCAGGTGGTTGATGTGGGGGGAGGGAGGAAAAGAGGTGCCCCCTTTGGCCCTCTCTTCAGCACCCCTTCCCCTCCTGCCTCGGCTCAGATGGGACGAGTGCCCCTCCCGGTGTGGCCACCAGTGCCCGCGGGGAACAGCATCCTGGGTAATAGAACACCAGTCACCCTTGGCAGGGTGGGGCCAGGCTGTAACCAGCCTGGAGGCCCACCCCTTGCCGTTTTGGACATTTGACATTACCTATTGCTGCTACTTTTTCTCTCTTCTGACCTTAGGGCAAAGGAGCCCCAGGCCCTGTCCTCCCAGCATCCTCCCTGGTGGCCCTGGGCACGTGCACTGACACCCGCACCTTTCTGCCAGGCGGCCTGGAGCCCACCCTGCTCCCTGTTACACATACACCCAAGGCCCTCGGCTCATGGATGGCCTTCCCCCCACCCCCATATTTATTCACTAATATAACCGAATCTTGGTGTTACTGGGACTGGAACAAGTATCTCCTCCATCCCCTGGCCTCCATCCCAGCTGTCCCCGGCAGGACTTCTGCAAGTGACCCAGCCACCCCCCCCCCCCCCCCCCCCGCCCCGCGGCGCGCAGCTCCCCCAGGTGCCAGACCTTCTGTGGGTTCAACCTCAGAGCCTCACTCCCGAGGTGAAATCCAGCACATCTGCCTTTGTCCCCTGGTGGGGATGGGGAAACGGCCCACCGCCTCCCTCCTTGCTCTGTCAGAAACCTTGATCACCGGGGGTTTGGAGGCTGCTGCCGTGTCCCACTTGGTCACTCTTCACCCCAGTGCCCCCCACTCTGGCTAGTGAGTATAGGGAAGGATACGGGTTCTTTCTTCTGACGGGGAGCCAGGGCCTCCGTCGTCCCTGCCTCAACCCTCACCCTTTGCCCTTTGCCCTTGGAAAGGTGTCCTTGAAGTCCCTTCCCCCCTCTATGCCACTGTCTGCTTGGCCCAGCTCAGGGGTGCGGGGACCAGGTGAAAGCAAGGGGAGGTGAGTGCAGAAGGCAGCCCTTCCTCAGAGCTGACTCAGGCCCTCTGCTTGGTCTTGAGGCAGCTGAGGAGGGCGCTGCAGCGAGAGCTAAGGAGGAGGGTACGTGTGATTTGTCAGAAGTGATTTGGTTGAAAACCGGCTGGTCAGGGGATGAAAGAAGAGCAGCTCCTGCCACTGGCACTTTGAGTGTTAGCAATTAGGGATGCCTCCCGGGGATGGTTTGGGGCCTTTGGTGAGTCTCTAAGTGATTTTGTCTGTTTTCAAGTTTTTCTTTGCTTTTCGTGTTTCTCTGTTGGCTTTTGATGTTATAAAAGCGGTCAATCCGCTTTAGGAGAAAATCAAAAACACACAGAAGAAGAATGCGGGACGTGGATTCCCCGGTTGCCTCTCCGTAGCAGTGGCCCGTGTGAGCAGCTCAGTGGCACCCCCAGTGGTGTTCAGTGGGCAGGCGGCAGCCCCCGGCTCCCGCCCCCATGCACACCTGCCTTGTGGTGGGCTTTACAGGAATGGCTCGTGCCTGCGGACTGTTCTGTCACCCCCATTCTCAAGTCTTTCATTTGGTGCCTACCTTTTCACTGTTAAAAGGCAAGTGCGGCACAGACGTTATTGGCAAAAATTGACATTAATAAAATGAGTAATATCTCTCAATCTCCCCCACCCCACCGCCCCATTCTGAAAAACAGGCAAAAATGTGTAAAGACTCATCAAAGCTTGAAGACAGCTGCATGGTGCACCAGAATCTGTTACCTACAAAAAAGCCCGGTGTCTGGAAGGTTCATGCTCCTCTCAGCTGACCCAGCTTGCCCTGAACCAAATGTCTTTGCCTAAATATCGAGGACTGCAGTAAGTGCAGCTTCAGACAGGAAGCCTGCCAGGCCTGGCCCCGGCGAGGGGCAGGGAGCTGGAAGGCTGCGGGAGACCTCAGTGGCCTTTGGTTTGGGTGACCAGCCTGGGAGGGGCAGAGAAGGCAAGGCCGAGGGGATCCCTGTGAGGGAGGGAGGAAGGATCATTTGCCCCGCTGGGTCTCAAAGGCAATAAGAAGGGAACTGAAGAAAGCTCTTGACTGGCTGACAGGAGGGTTCCAATGTTGAGACTCACCCGTGTCTCCTCTTTACATCCATCCGTGTCTGTGTGCTAGTGTGTAGGTTTTATAGAGGTAGCATCAGATGGGTGATGTGTTCTTACTTAACCATTCCTACTATTGTAACTTGACGTGAAAAAGACAAAACCCCACAAAACTCTTCCCGCCATGGGCTTGCAGATTGAAGCACTTTCAATGTTGGGCGCTGGCATTTGTGTTCTGGTCACCATCCTGACCCTGCCCAGATCGCTATAATATAATTTTATACACAAAACTTGTTTTTTCATAAATGTTATAATTTTGTGTCTGTCTTTATAAACTATTATAAGTACTATTTTTGTTATAATTCAAAATAGATATTTAGTATAAAGTTTCTGCTGTTAAATATTTGTTATTTAGTAAAATATGAAGTTTTTCCTCTATTGTAAACATGGTTCAAAATGTTAATATGTTTTTATCACAGTTGTTTTAATATTGAAAAAGCACTTGTGTGTTCTGTTTTGATATGAAACTGGTACCGTGTGAGTGTTTTCGCTGTCGTGGTTTTAATCTGTATATAATATTCCATGTTGCATATTAAAAAAAGTTGTGCATTTTGTGATTTTGGAAATACTCAATGTGGCTCTTTTATAGGCTTCTATAATAAACCTTGAGGACTCACCCTCGTTTGGCTGTCTGGTCTCTGCCTTCCCAGCTCCCTGAAAGGATCCTCCCGTCCACCCACCTTCCCTTCAACAACACCCAGTCCCACTTGTCAGGCAGGAAGTTCTTCCCCGCAGTGTTTGCCCTGAGGGGCCAGCCCCCATTCCCTGCATGAAAGCACACAGAGGTCCCGTGACTGTATCCTGTGAGCGGTAGTTTCCCTGGGGAGGGGAGGATGTACCTGGAGGGCCACTGTCCCCAGAGACCTGTTGCAGCATGGGGCAGCTGGGGGCCGCGTCCCTGGCCATGTGGCCGGGCCTGGCTGGGCCAGGTGTCTCGGTCCTGGACGTGGCAACCAGAGCACTGCAGAGTCCATCTTGTTCACACGAGTGAGGACACGGATGTCCACAGCCACGTGGCACACATGAGCCACGAGAGCAGAATCCAGTTCTCCCGACTCCAAGCCTCATGCGCCGTGAGGCACTTCTCAGAGCCTGTTTCATGGGTGCTGCAGGAGCAAATGGATTCTGGGATCGAATCAGTCTGGGGAAGGGCTTAAACAGCGCTGGGCAGATTCCTTCACTGCGGGACTGCTCAGGACCTTGAGCCTGGGGTTGGGCATGCTGAGGGACTGAACAGTGTAGAGCTCAGAGGTTGCAGGGCTCCCCGAGCCCACTTGACGACGGAAACCATGTCCTCTTTGCCCATTCTCACACTCCGTGAAAAGCTGCTCTGCCGCCTGACTGTCCCGGAAGCCCATAGGTGACCCAGCGAAGGGCGTCATCCACTGCCAGACAAGGAACGTCCAGGGCGGTCCCCAGAACCTAGGGTGGGGAAGGAGGGCAGTGAGTGGCAGAGCCGTGGCTCCTGGAGCTGCACCAGGAACTGGGGGGTCCGGCCCTGGCAAGGGGAAGGCCTCACAATGCCCAGGCCAGTCCCAGCCCCTGTCTTACCAGGTCCCCTCCCCAAGTCCCCACTGAGCCAGCCTGAAAAAGCCCATTTTGTGGCTCCAGTGTTTCTTTTTGATACACTGTCAGACCCAGCCTCGACCCAGATACATCCCAGGACACAGGGCCTTTCTCAAAGAGCCTGGCACCCAGAGGGGCATCACCATCATCTCCTGAACAGTGCCACCGGGTGGTCTGCTCAACCTGTCCTTTTCCCTGTGCCATCTTTCTGCCTCACCTGACCCTTCCCAGCGCAGGTCTCCGCTCCCCGAGCCTTAATCTCCACCCTGGGGAGGGGAGAGCAAGATGATCTCCTGTTTTGCATCAGATGAAACAGAGTCTCAGCATAGCAGGGACCTTCTCACAGTCACACAGAAGCAGAGGCTGGTCCTGGTCCAGAACGGGGGCCACCTGCCCTGCACAGCACATGCCCCACCAAGGGGGATCCCTCCAATGGAGGTCTGCAGGGTCAACGAGAAGCAGCAACGGACACCCCCAGCTTCCACTGGGAAATGTGCCAGTGGAAGGTAGTAGTTTGTCAGAGTGTAAATTCCATCTCTCCCAGTGGAATGTCCTGTGTGGCAGCAGAGGTGAAGGGAGCGTGGCCCTTGGGCTGCCCTTGGTCTGACCGCCCTGCCACGGGGTGGGAGGGCCCAGCCGGGCGGGTGGCTGGCTTGTCATCACCCAGTCTGTCCTTGCCTCTCCCCCGTAGGCCCAGTGGGTCGGTGACGTCCCCCACACGGCTGCCTGCCCTCGGGATCTCCTGGCCTGGAAGGAGAACACAGGCCGCTGTGGACAGACCGACACGGCCACTGTTTGTCCAGGGCCTGGGGCGCCAGTTTGGAGGGAACTCACAGACCGCACATTCTGCCGCCTCCCAACACTTTTCCAAAACAGCCTGGTCTTGGTTGGGCCTGGCTGCCTGGGGTGGTCGGGGGCTGGGAGCCAGGAACAAGGCAGGGGAAAGCAGGGCCTCAGGGCCAGAAGAGTGAGGTGACCAGGTGAGAGCAGAGACAGCACTCTGCCAGAGTCAGCCTTGTCAGCTCTGATGGGCCTTGGTGGGGAAAGAGAGAGAGGGAGGAGGACTGCGTGTATCTGGGTTGGGGGCTAAAGGAAAAACAAACCTGACTTGCCGAGTCCTCAGGCTGAGCCAGCCAGGCTTGTTCCTCACAGAGGCTCTAGAGCACTGATCATGGTGTGGAGGCGGTGATGGCGAAGCAGCAGCAGGCTGGGACTCGGCTTCAGTTCTTCATCTCCCGCCCCACTTCCCTTTCACCAGATTGGTCTGCCCCAAGGTTTGGCCTCCACTGGCCTCACCCACCCCCAGGGACTGTGGCCTCCCAGGACACACTTATTCCAGGCCCGGCAACCTTGACCTTCCTGTAAGGAGAATGCCTCCCCTCAACCCCCCAAGCCCTGGTGTCTAGGACTTAGGTTCCCTCCAATTGATACCCCATTCTGTACAGCAGACGAGTGACAGGTGAGCCCACAAAGACTTCCGTGGGAGTGTGGCACTGTGACACCACCCTTGGAAGCAGCTGGGCCTGCCCTGGGGGCTGTCGCAGGCACAGTAGGGGTTCCTTGGCTGGCGGTAGCCATGTGGCCAGATTGCTGGCCCACGTGAGGGCATCAGGCTCCCTGGGAGTGAACGTAGGTGGTCTGGGAAGCAGATGAGCCTGGGCAGGGCCTACCTACTTGGCTACAGTCCCCTCCTTCCTGGCTTGTTGGCACCCAGAAAAGCCCTTCTTGCCTTGCCTGGTGTAGACTTGACTTTTGTTTTTTAGACTTGTCATTTTGGTAAGTCCTTCTTTCTCACAGCTTCTTCTTCTGGGACTCAGGCTTAGATTCCCTCTGGGTGTAATGTTTTGTAGAACACATTGTCAGTGGTGCCCCCAGA